TTAATGACCAATGAACAAACATAAGCGAAAATAACCCTTTTTTACGAAAAAACTTATAAAAATTCAACACTCAGTTCCCGAAAGAGTCACACTTTGCATCCATAATCGTAGCTGCTCGTTAAGTAAACTTTTCAAACTTCATCATTGGTTAGAAAAAGACAAGAAACTCAGTAACCTGGATAATATCATACTAAACCCAAATAATAAAAATTTAACCAAAACGTGGAAACAATCGGAGCTGGGAAACACCTAAAATAATTCGGTAAGCTTTCAAATGTAGAAATTCGCAGTGACGGGTCCCATTCTTTCGGGATGAAATAATTTAGGATGCGACTGTTGGTACAGTCCTGGGCGACAATGGACTTTTTGTTGCACAGAACACCAGTCGGGAGCTCGGCTACAGTCAACAACGCTGGAGCAATCAAGATTCAGCAGGAAGAATAAGCTTCTTTTTAAAAACATTTATTTCGAATTTAGCAGCGATTATTATGTAGCATAGCACTTTAGACGTTCTCTGATCAACGTATTCAGAGGACGTATTCAAATTGTAAACAGAAGAAAAATAGAGCCAGTTTGGAACGTCATTAGCATTCGCTAACAAAAATAAACCAAAAAAAAAACATTCCTCCAAATTCATCAAAAATATTGACAGCTGTTTGGTTATCCTCTAAATGAAATTATTCTCTTATTGATAGGAGACAATCTGAAGCGGTCACAATCTCATAAGGAAAATAAAAACGTGCAATGAAACTCAAGATGTAGATCGAAAATGCTGAAAATTTCTTTTTGATTTTCATTTAATTGCAGGCTTGGTGCAGGCTTGGAGCACCGCATGATGATGCTGGTGCAGGCTTGGAGCACCGCATGATGATGCTGCATGGTGCAGGCTTGGGTCACCGCATGATGATGCTGGTGCAGGCTTGGGGCACCGCATGATGATGCTGGTGCAGGCGTCGGGGCACCGCATGGCGATGCTGGTGCAGGCTTGGGGCACCGCATGATGACCAGCATTCCAGCACCGCGCGAGTGCTGGTCTTGTTGTGAGCCTCCCTCATGTGGTTCCTTGCTCCCTCAGGACTGGAGGTGGCGGCTGCATGGGGCGGAGGCTCAAGGTAGTTGTGGTCAAACGGATGTAATTTAAACTTTTTAGAAGTCTACAACCTTCTTATTATCACAGGAAAATTTGTAAACATCATTAGTTTCCTATAGTGGTCCTGATTTGTTACACAGATTTTATGACTAAACTCATGATTTTTTTGTTGTTGTAATAATTAACGAATTTGATTCGGTCAGTTCCTAGTGTGCTTCTGATATTAATTGACATAGTTGAATTGAGGACTCGTTCATCAGTCCTATAACCGTTGTTCATCTGGTTTTGTACTAAATGGTAGCGATGTTTTCGTTTATTGCAGGTTCGTTGTCGGTTTGGTTTAGACGTTATTGTATTATTATTTGTGTTTGTAGACGGACGAACAAAATATAGGGCGGTTTCCCCAGCGCGAATTAACAATACCAATCGTGGTGGGATATTACCTGATTATAAAGTTGACTTTTTTTGGTTAGGTCATGAGACATGACAGAACAATTTGTTGACAAACAAAAAGAACAATTTCTCTAAAATTTCAAAAAAGGGAGTTTAACTGTGATTTGATGTTAAATAAAGGCTCTCAAAGACGGCTTGACTCTCACTTCCGGTAGGCTTGACTCCAAGGGCTTCCGGTAGGTCCGTTGGCAATTGCTGCTAGGCTTGACCTAATCTCTGGTATAGGAAAGGCAGCGATGTCTGTTAATTTCATCAGACAAAAACGAAGCTGGGAACAGACTAACTCTCATACAGAATCGAACTTGGGTCCAAAAATTAGTTTGGCTGGCGATCTCACAACGTATAAATTACGTGATAGGGAACTATATTGAAAAATCATGTGTCTCAAGAGGAAAGACGGTCTGAACAGGCCTTGTCAATTCTCGTAAAAAGCAACACGATCAAGCTAGAAAGAGACCTACTGCCTTCGCGCCTACAATGGCTATGCATACAATTAAAGGTTGTATACCAGTTTGAACACAGGACGCACATCCTAGTGGTATATACCAATAATTTTACACTCACAACTTAGGAATTACATATTGCAAGCACCTTCTTGTTGATCTGCTATATATGTTCGGCTACAATAGAACGTCGCCGAGGTTCTAGAATCGATCAATGACTCATCATGTATAAAAGTTGAAAATAAGAGAAAAGCTCAGTACTGTAAAATTGAAGCATAAGTGAATAAAGATCATTTATTAAGTTATATATTTGATATTTTCTTTGGCGCTATATAACATCATTCCGCTTAGTTACTCCACCAGTAACCAGTAAAACGAACAAGATACTAAATTAGATTAAATCCAATCAAACAGTGACATTCAAATTTTTGGAAAGATTCATTTACAAACCCTCAGTATGGGAGACAATGGTAAAAATGGCTGCGGTCTCTGTCTTTACACATCTCTTAGTCTGCATGCTATAAAATTCCGATCCAATTTCATTCCTTACGTTAATAACAAGGCAATACCCCACAATACCGGCCGCGTGCAAATATTGTGAAGCACACGATTGCGGCAGCCTGGAATGCATTCATTTCTCCTTGAACGTAAGTAAGAAGTCGCAAAAATTTGTACCTGAACTGCGAATGAAACCTGCAATCCATTTGCGGGCGTTGTGTTTGCACTTTCTCGGGAACATCCCTCAAAAAAAAAAAGCGATGAGCGGAGATCAGATAGAGCGAAAGGTCTCACTCAATACTCGAATAACAATGAAACGGAAAAAAGTAAGAGAGCGGAGAAGAATTATTACATTTAATATAGGAGCCTCGTCGTCTCCAAATTTAAGAGTAAGGACCAAACTTTTGCCTAAAGAAAGTGATTAAGACCGTGGAATTCTACTAGAAGTGTCCTTCAAATAGTTGAAATAGGTAATAATGGTGACAATAAAAATAAAGCACGCGCTGCTAAGTTACAATATTTCCCATTTTAAGTTAGTCGTCCTAAGAAGTTGATACCAATAAATTCACGATAAATTATTTGAATCTAAATTAATTGAGGTGTTCGTAGGTTCTCATTTCTTCCAGCCATACAATCCAAAGCGTGGCGAGCCTACCAGGATTATATCTCAACTCGAAGCGCCAGACTAACCTGGGCAGTTAATGCACGAGTTGCCCCTTGGACACACTGAGTGGACTTTCACGTAGCGCACTTTGATCACATGATCGTTTACGCTTGTCTGGACATTAAGACACGTCGATAAAGCTTAGGCAATCTACAGCACTGAAATGTGGTGCCTTTGCAGGGGTCGATGCACATTTTTTAACCTAGTGTCTTATAAGGATATAACTTCAGTTAAAATTCCTATTGACACGAGCAAAATTAATAACGATTGACGTATCCGTAGACAAATGCTCCACAGCGGCCAAATGACGAAAATTGAAACGGCGCAAGATGAAATGAAAGTAAAAGCTTTATTTTACATTTTAGATTACATGACTATATATATCCCTATTAAAATTAAATTAGATGAAACCAATACTAGTTGCATTAGAATGGGAGGGTGAACCATAATACGCTCATGTATTTATTATGTTCTAAACCGATCAAAATATTTTCAATAGCAAGCGATTTCACACCACAAAAATTCTAAAATAATACCTTGCATTACATGTGTCGAGCATATAAAATGTTATTCTGACACACACGAAATTTTTTTTCGCTTCATCAGTTAATTTTAATCGTTCGCGGTACAGGCGCTTTCATTACTTGTAATTGGAGTCAATCCCCTACAAGAATTGCTGCTGAAGCTCGTACAAGCTGTGATACTGGAATCTTTCTGGACTGCTATTTCAACGATCCATTTTCTAAAGTCATTTGGAACAGAACATGATATTATTCATCCATAAAAATTCAAAAGCAGAGCGGCCACAACAAATTCTCAAGGTTTTAATTTTTAAAGTGAAAATATAAATACTAGCTTCGACTAGTAGCTAAAGTCAGGTCTATAAACAGAGAAATAAGACACAATTCTGATGCTAGATGAATTTCTGCCATGCAATTAAGGGGACCTACTGATAATTTTGATAACTTCTATAGTTATTATCCGATTGACATGAAACTTCACATACATACGTAAAATGTAAAAAGAAAAACATTTTGCTCCTGTGAATTTTTCGAAAAAATTGATAGAAAACGTGATATTCATAGAAAACGGACAAATAACGGGTACTTCAGAAAATCTATCTCCTCCTACAAATATCATCCTACAACATCGAGACACGTATCATTCGATTTGTAAAGACCATATCTATCGACTCTATCGTTTCTAATTACTTTATATCTAATTACTTAAACAACTCTCCCACCCGCTTCCCTTTAAAGAGACGTCATGAACGTAAATATTGGCGTACAGCGATGGCAGTGGTACCATTGGAAAGAGCAGAATTCCAGCTTTCAGATGAGCACAAAAACCGAAAAACGCCAAAATTGAAAATTTTAGGCAGCAGGTCCCCTTAAGCACACATTAAGCGCATTATTTTCAATGTAGAGGGCTTGGTTAATTATTAAAGATCAATAATGTGTATTATCTTGATGTATAGTGTATAGGAAAATGATGTATTTTAATTAGGATGTAAAAGTTGTAAGTTTGTTTTAGAAAGAATCGTAGCTTTGCTGACTGGTGTCGTACGAACGGATTCATTCGGATTTTAGAGAGCGGGCAGGAAGGATCCCTCTATTCGGCCCGTATATGTCTTGCTCCAGATTGTCTCGATTAACTTTGTAACCTTGCCCAATTTTATATCTTTGATGTGGTGTTGGATTTTAAGTATATTTTGACCAGAAAAGACTTTTATTCATGACAACAGTTCATGCGAACCTGATGGTCCCCAACATCAGTGAAGTAAAACTCATTTAATTTACTAATATGCGTCATATGAAATATACGAACGGTTATGTAGTATTTCAATGCTCACCTGATAGAAGATGTCGTCCACGAGCGACTGGTCGATGATGGAACTAAATTCTGGACCTCGAAGTGCTTGCTCGTAGCGCTGCATTGAGAAGATACAGACATTTCAATCTCGGAATATGAAAATTAAATGCAAATACGCAATAAAAATAAAATGGCAAGTCGATGCATCCAAAATAGGCAGAAACATAGCTAAGTGGTTATTAATCTTAATATAAAGGTACTTACAGCGCAGAGATACAATGTTGGCCATTGAACCATAAAAGATCACTTTAATTTGAATACCTGGCGGAACAAAGTATTATTCGGTAAATTAGGGTAGACAGTAATCTTTCAGAGAGCCGTGGAGCCTTGAGCTCATTCATTAGCCTTCAATTTTAACGGAAATCATTTTCGCTTGACTTGTTCTATAACATCCATTTCTTTTCTTCCGAAATAATAAACATTATTTGGTAATAAACACTCAATATTGTTGTCAATGGTCAAGTACTACCGAAAGTAGGGTACCAAGTGGATACTCATTATTATACGCATTTTGCCTTGAATAATTAATTTCCACACTGAAGACTTTTTAAACTCCAAAGAATGCGTCAAATAACACAGTATAAACACACTAAAATTCGTCCAGAATATACCATAGCCCGAACACTTTAGCTCCATTTCGTACACGTCCAAAGAAAGTTTATGAAGATATTAATAATAATTCAAGTGTTTTTGGAGCAAATTAAGAAATAAAGATATTTCAAATTCATTACAAATAAATGTGATAAAAAACAATTCTGATGGCATAACAGGTTCCAGAAATGAATTTCTCATGCCGGACGCTCAGAATTCCTAACGCACAGGTTGTCGAACGCGAACAATAATAGTGCAAGGATGAGAAGTTAATTAGTAAATGATTTGTCCTGACGTTTAACATGAAATTTAAATCAATAAATACTTTTTGTATAAAATAATTACTAGTTAATGAGCATTTCCGAACATAAGTAAAATTTGAGTTGTAGTTTTTACAGGCATGTCCTGTAAGCTTGTATCTACGCCGAAATGGGACAGGTATGAACGAATTGCAATCCTAAATTTATCTCCATTATCCAAAAATTATGTACCGAGAGACCAGTTTACGAGAAGAAGCTTCGCGTCTGCCACAAATGATCATCCATCTCGGCCAGAATTGGGCGACAGCCTCTTGTCCCTCCGCACTACCAACAAGAAATAGCGGTAGACAGCTCAAGGCTCGCGGCCAGAATAATGTGAGGGATATCCTGACTAATTAAATGGAGGTCTATGGTAAATATAAATACTAGATCGTGAACAAGCGTGAATATCAGGCACTGAGGCAAACAATTACAGATACCGAAAAGCAAGCATGACAAGGCAAAAAAGTTGATTAAATGAAAATATAAACTTTTTGATTACACAATGATTCTATTCTTTGGCAGGTTTCTTTGCTAACCCGACTAAATAGCTCGTCTAGCAAGTGGGAAAATTTAGACTTCATTATTTAATTGTAGAGAAGCTAAAACCATTTAAAATAGAGATAATTTCTGCTCAAAACGTCATCGAGAGCACAGTGATAGCGTGGGGTGTTGTATCTCATATAGGGATGCTAGCACTGATGAACATTAACTTATCAGACCGTAAACTATGTGAGCATTTACTCATCAGGATTGAAATTTTGTGGGGATTTACTCATGAGACCGTAAACTCTATGAGCTTCTATACAGAACGGAATCTTTGCGAGCTTCAAGTCATCACAGCATAAACAATGCGAACATTCAATTATTACTTCTCAGACCGCGCGCAGATCTCGAAGCAAGAAGCAAGATATGTTATAAGGCGCCTAGGACAGATTTCTTGTCGTGTGGGCGATCTGTCTTAAATTTTTCGTCTTGTTGCTCATTACAAATCAAGGATTACAGACGCTCGTACATCACTGCTCAGCGGACGCTCGTGCCGCGCCAATGAATTGTGTGTGTTACTTGAAACATTGCATTTAGACTGAAGAAAAGTCCTTTCTCTTTAAGATTGGCTGCCCATGCTCCAGTGAGTGATGAGTAATCAGGGACCCTTAGGTCTCCTTGATTGCCTTTTGTGTGCAACGGGCTGCACAAATCAACTTATCGCATTAGCTTAAATATTGCTCAATCAACTCGCCCTATTTTCCTTGAGACTGCCACATTTAAGATCAAATTTCACAGACATTTTATCCAATGACCACAATTAAGTAGAATTGCACATGCAGGCAGCAAATCTTTAACTATTTTCAATCTTATGAACTAATAATCATGGCTAAATTCTGTGAAATTTCATAGCCGATAAATTTAGCCAACAATTTTTCATCTATTTGCTTCGATTTTCAGGAAATAATGGTTTAAAATAAAATTATCAATCATAGATTTTGTGAGTTTCGAACACGTAGACAAGTGTTTAAGGAACAGCTCGACTTTCTCACGCACTAGCCGCTCTCCAGCAAATGTTACAGCACAGCTAAAGAATACAGAACTGCTCTCAATTCAATGTCGGTCTGCACTCCTGTTCAGCCTTGTTCCAAGTTTTACTGCAGCAATGCTGTGAATAAATAAAGTGTTTCTAGCTTGAGTTTATAGTAAAAAATCATACGTGAGATATTTGATAGTCCCACCATGAGATCTTTGAAGTCTTTTTATGATATACTCGTACGTTTATAGAACGTGAATTCTCAGTAGTATATTGTATTAGTAATTATATAATTTCATTTGCAATAAATTGTTTGAATATTGTACTACATAAATGCGATTAATCATCTAAATTAATATGAACTTTTTGAAACATGATCGAATCTCTAACTTCATACTTAAATTGATACCTTTTTCACCTCAATCTGTGCTGAATGGTTTAAATCATTGCGTGGCTCATCATCCATTAGGTTACAATTAATAATTTCAGACGTGCGTGCAGTTATTGAGAAGAAAATCAACTTAAGTACCAACAACCTGCTATGGGCGACATACTTAATAAAACCATGTCGTAAATCATCGACTAGCGCAGGCCTCACCTTTATCAAAAAGCCAAGTTTCTTGACGTAATTCTTCTCGGTGTCGTAAAGCTCGCCGATGACGTGCGCTCGAGTGTCCTGTGACATAAAAATCGGGCATTAGCTCATTAAAACATTGAGGATTAATTATCATGATAACGTGGGAGGAAGCTGGGGATAAGGAGAAGATAAGGAGATAGAGAGTACCTGCGTCAAACAATTGTGATTGTAATGAAGTTCAGAGCATATAGTGTTCTTCGGAAGAGGAGCATGAGTGTTATTTGCGGAAGAATGGATGATTGATTGCAAAAGAAGCAGTAACAATACTACCAAAAATATAATCAAGTGGTGAGACGTGCCTTAATTAATTAATCCAAGCCAATAAACGAAGAACGTTGCAGAACAAATAACCCTAAATTAAAGCTTGCCGCGTCTTGATATTTATCTGTTCTAAGTCAAAATTTAAGGATTTTTTAAATATATATGGTTCCAAGTTGCAGTTATTTATGTATTTCTAATTCTTTACAATCCTTTGCAATCATACGAATTGAAGATGTGATTTTATAGCAAAATTCTCAGTTAAAAAAGTTTAGATTAAAAAAGTTGAGTGATGAATTGTTGAATGAGATTTTCATTGCAATGTGTTATCAAAACCTGTGGCGCCACCACATAAAAGCAGCAATCAGATCTGTTTCATCATCAATTATCTTTTATACTTGACAATTACGGCAATATTAATCTGAAAAATTTTTCATCCAATTGGTATTTTTGCCTTGAGAAAATAGCAGAGCGGCACACAATAACCGCTACGCAGACTCAGCCATTAGCCTGATACCAGCGAAAATGTTGAGAAGTAGCACCCAATAAAACAGTTGAATACTAGTAAACATTTTCACCCACTGAAGTTCTTAAAACAAACAAATTAGGCACCCGAACAACAAGGCTAGCAGTTTTGTAGTAAAAAGTAATCCATTACTTCCATGACTGAAGGTTCAACGTGTGCATGAGTAAATAGCTGCTCGAGGCTGCCCAGTGCTAATGACAGTAATATTGCATTACAGACGAGCACGGCGCCATCATTGCACCACGCACTTCATTAGCTTTAAAGATTGCCAAGCCAGCTCCTCTTTGTCGCTAATGTCCTGCCTTGCCCGCACCCAGGCTTAATTCCAACAAACCTTTTAAGGCCTTTTGTCCCGTGCGTTTCTGTCGAGCGTATCGTTAATCCTGAGGTAACAATGGAAAATCCCTAAGCGATTTCCTGCAAATTAGGCTGACCGAATCTGCGAAATTTAGAAGAACTTCAAGACCGAAATGAACCCAATGTCGTTGCTACCCGCGCTTCCGCAAGATTTGCCCTAAACATAAAAGGAATATTTCATCGTAGTCAAGCCCGCGTTATTGTCATGCTCACTAATTTAATTAACCGAAACTATATATGTGTAAATTGTATTCTGTCTAAGCTTTTTGCTGTGGCACTTCATTCTTCACCTTGACTTGGTACAGGACTGTAAACTGCATTGGGTTGTGCCTTGCCTATTGCATGATTATTAAATAATATAAATAGTCTCATAATCTTCGAATTTACACTTTTGTAGCAATTGCTTTATATTTTGTGAATTTATTTCGATCTTCTATTTCACATAATAGAGTCAGTACCCGTTCTATATACATTACATTGATATAGAACTTCGGTAAACGAAATTAGAACTCTAATGAAAGATTCAAATGAGCCTTCTCATAATTTTTTATTCATTATATTCTCGTGAACCAAGTATTCAACGCCTTGATTTGATGTAAATTAAAAAATTTGTGGGAAATTTCTATATTGTTTTTATTTTTCAAACTACGTTTAGGTTGACGATCTTTCCCAGGGTTTAATAAAGTTAAACTGAATAGGGCGACCAAATTTTGTTCGATTTCGTGGAAGCAAACATACGGCGGAAATTGCTGTTGCCAAAGATCCGATGCCGTGACGATATTTCACGGCATTCGTCATTGTATTAATTGTTCGACCGCGATGATCAAACAACACAAACCAGCTGGTAAAAATCATGTTCCTGCTGCGTTCCTCGTAATTTAATGTTTAAAACATCTTCAATTTTGCTATTAGATCAGATTGCCGTGAATTCACGATGTCATTTAATGTACAAGTAGGATGGATCTAGATATAAAAAAAATCCCAGAACAACTATCAAAGCATCAAAACATATTTATATCTATGTTCATTTCTAGACAAATTAATAAACGATAAATAAAATCAATCGCATATAAACCTACCAAAAATAAAATCAAAAACATAATAATACTAAAATCAGTAACCTAAAAAACGGTTATTCGTAATATCTTCAGATTTGATGGACAATTGAAAAGGAGATTAGGAAGATGGTTTGAACCTTCAAATTTTCTCTCATAAAGAATCTGGTTTTATTCGGTCTTTGTTAGTAAACTTTTCTCTACGAAAACTTCAATTTGTCTTTTCGATACGATAACGTTCAACAGTCGCTTCGTTCCAACGCCACAAAAAAAATCTCTCGTTTTTTTCACACCCATCCATCAATTGTTCTAAAGTTTGACTAGCATTGTGAGAAAGAAGCAGCGGCCATCACAAGCTTTGGTCATTATGACTGTTATTTCTCCCGCGATGGCTTCCCAAGTCTAAGTAACTTAATTTCTGCATGATTTTTCAAAATTAAATGCTGGTGAGTGCAGTCGATTTTGTGGCTTTTGCCTCACAACTTTCAAAGATATGAATTGAAGTCAACTTTAAAAGATATGAATTTAATTTAATGCAACTAGTTTTCGGTTTTATGAAAAGTTGGCTTAGAAGAAACGAAGGCCTTACTTTCAACTCTCAGTTACAAAAAATAACCAAAAATGCATATGGCAGCCACGCAAGCTTGGACTGCATTACGATTTTTTTTCTGACTCATAATAAATGTTAAAATCTAGCTGTGTCATTGTTAGAATAGTTCAATTTTATATTGAAGTAAAAATAGAGCGACGGAGCAAGACAGGTAAGAGGAATATTGGATGTAACGCCAGCGTGACTCCGCAACGTTGCACGTGGTAACGATAGTTTAATCGATCATTCTGCCATCAATTAACACATCAGATAAGGTCTATCATTAACACACAATGCTTAATACTTGCAATCATGTTCACTTTACTCTATTAATAAAAGTATGGTTCCCTCCGGCTGCGTTTGAACAGCGGTGCATTTGCTGCTTTGGTTACTGCTGTTGCCGGTGTTTAGAATAATTTCTACTAATGTTACCGTAGACATTACTGACGTCCAAGTTCCCGTTGTTACCGCAGTTTTTACTGCTGTTGTTATCATTGCTGCAGTTATCGTTGCAGTAACCGTAATCGTAACTGCGATCATGCAAGATTCTGTTGCTGTTATCGTTGATTTAAAAGATAAAAATCTACAATGCTGAAGAATTCTCACTATATTCAATTGATAACAACTTATATTTTGTAATTATTAAATGTATCTGAAACTCGAAAAATATCAAAACCTATATTGAATATTAAGACCCATTTCAACCATCGGGCTTTTATCAACCACGAATTTTTAATTGTGATTGAGCAGGCTCATCGGTAGCCGCCGAAATTGGACTGAATGGCCAATAACGTCCGCTGCTCGCGTATCACAGATTTCCTCTTTTTTTTTTATTTTGAAGTCGCAAACAGCTGTTCCAACAGAACAGTTGTTGGCAAACTTGACTTTAGACAGAAATTTTTGTCGTAAAAAACTTTCAGTTCTCCTGTCAGTAGCTAGCTGAAATAAAATAGCGGGTGCAATTACAGAAGGCTAGCGAAAGAACTATCTCTTCTTCGATTCATCGAGAAAACTTTGCGAAACTCTTCCATTATCGGGCGCTGCAAAATTGAATCCCAGTCGGCGCGCGGAGAAAAGCGAAAATCAGTGATTGAATTTGCCCAATTGGATGATTTTATTCAGGATTTGCCTAATGTAGGAATGATTTTAAGTTAAGCACAATGTGTTAAAAATTTTAGAAATTCGAATTTATATAAAAAACAGGAAAAAACGTAACAAATAAATGTTTCATATATACAAATACATGCTTCAAGTTATGTTATTGTCATTTGGAGTCATTTGGTTGCAGGTTTTCATCAGGTTCGGTTTCATCAAACGAACAACTTCAATTGGACCACGAGCACTTTAGACTGTCAGTTTATAATTTATAATTTTTTGGGCACATAATAGTATTCGAGTTGCATAACATTATTCGAGCGACGTATGTCGACTACGACAAATCGACAATACGTCGATTCGGTTGCAATATTTGTAGAGCAACCGAATCAAGTGCTTAGGCATTTTTATCCGTTCTCATCCTTTCTCGTGTCTATATATTTTTCGCTTGCTATTAAACTTGAGTGTGACGTGATCTCGAAGTTCGTTTGAACCAGACGCCACGATAACTGCTTCGTAGAATAATAATAAATGAGATAACAAGCACAATGAAGGCCCTTTAAATAAGTTACACAGCACCTTGTCTTGGTGGTGACAAAGCTCATCACAAACAGTAATGAATAGTAAGCTTTGTTTTGGCACTTCTTAATCGAGAATTCGAAATACAAAAAATACAAATTGCTGCTTCTTGTTGCAATAATTTTCTCAATATATTAATTAAGGTCCCAATAACAAAACGAATAGGTAAGAATAAAAAATGTCCGAACGAATATGAATTCGTACTCTTTCTGCAGGACTTTCGACAACAAACACTTAAATTTGTAATCCCTGAAACATGAATAACATTTGACATACAATAACCAGGCGGCGGACTGCAGAGGCAATGAAGCTCATACGAGGATGCAATCTCATGCAAGCCTATAGGGATGCTAGCGGACGAGCTAGCATCCCTTAGGCGTACATCAATATTGTTACGCTTTCCAGTGGTCATCATGCATAGCACTTAAAGACAGATAAACATTGCAATTATTATAGCAACAAAATCGTCCGAATATAAAAACACTTCAGAATACTTAATAATCAACGTTATATGACGAATAGTTTGAGTTTAATTGAAACAATATTAAGCTGTAAAAACGCAATGATGCGATGCGATTTTTTGTCACACAACTGCTTCAGAAAAATACTCAACAATGTTTTAATATAGAGCAGAAAAAACTGACTTAACACACAGATTTGTCAACTGCGTGATCGTCAATATTATTACTATTTACAAATGGACCCAGTCTTTAGATGGTTGAAAATTTGCGCTGATAGTCAAAACTTATTTTGACGATAATTATGCAAGGAACTATTCAGATGCTTTCACTGGAATCCCTGGACATTTATTTTAATTGCCCATATTTGTCGAGGTTTGAAGTTCTGGGCGCTCAAATCGACTTTTTCAATAAAAACTTTGCAAGAGGCAAAGGACAGGAGTTAGAGGCAGAGGTTAGAATAAGGCCTCAGTGTAGTAGCAGGTCTCTGGACACCCTTTGCATACTGGATGAGGAGCGGCGTGATGTGCTCTCGGTATATTGGAACAAGTTGGGCTGGCCGTGAGATTTTGAACGTTGTCAGATGAGTGGAAAAATAGTGCTTCGTGAAACCTTAACATCAGTCCTAAGAAAACGCCGTATGCAATTGCATTGAAAGAAATTGAAAGCTAATAATTACTATTCATTTTTAATTATTTATCTAAAACTCAGTAATTACATCGATATTTTTATCATCCCCATGATCTGAATCACGAGTCTCTAACTGCCATTCCGACCGTGATGAGTTACCGAACATATTAAACAATTTCCACGCCAAGTTATTCAATCGTTCCTTTAGTATATGGAAATTTCAAGGGGCAACCGTATTCATTCCAAGTAGACAGTTTAAAACTTGATGGAATGTTATTTCATTTGTTAGCTGTAGACTAGTGACATGCCTCATCCGCGCGTCATGTTACTGCACGTTCCTCTCACAGAAGCATGCGCTTTTGTTGAAGAGCCTGCGCTGCGCATGCAATAAGAGCGCGAATTAACCGTTGCCGAGACAGCGGCAGCAATAAGACTGGGCAATGCCCTCGCTGCAGGCAAGGGCAAAACTAAGCTGCTCGTCTGGCATCAAGATTAAATTACTGAATGGCGTTAATAGGCACCATGCATTACACGTATGAGTGATAGGAACATTTATTGGCTAATCCTCCAACGCAAACTGGTATCCCTCTGACCTTAATAAATAGTTTAATCTATGTATCCAGACTCTTGCTTCAGCGATATGCTGTTCGTGGGCGCCAGGTTTTTAGATCTAGAGGTATTTAAATGGGTGCAAGAGGAAGTAATTTTGTATACGATTAATATGATGTACGATTAATTATGAAGAGGTTAATAATTACACAATATAAATTAAAATCTGGAAAAATTCTTACAACGTAACTGACATGAAATGGCTTTTGAACGTCAAAATTGCACTGAATTACTTACACTGAATTTTTGTATCGAGACCAACATTTGTAATAATTTTACGCGGAGAATTGTATTTCTTGAAATTTTTTTCTTACAACCTTGATATAATATATTTGCTGTTTCTGCGTTCCAAAAATCACCATCTACGAGTATTTACGTAAAAATACATGATGCAAAAATACTATGAAAAACGCTGTAATGTGAAATCAAGAAAATCTGACCATCCAGTATATACGCGGGGAGCGATCATAAGGCGCATGTTATCAAGTCGTATTCATGATTAAAATGCATTGAAACCAAAAGAATATTGTGAGGCAGCTGAAATCAGCATTCATAGCTGATTAGAACACAATAAATACAGAACAATACAGCAATTGCACTAAATGCTCAATATTACTTACAGGTATCAATATGACGTTTCCTGCGTGGCTCGGACATTAATCACTAGATTATACAATGATAAATAGACACATATGCTGTTTCTCTTTCGCTGTCAAACATATCCATAAATATCCCACTCTTCCAATAATCAAGATGGTCTTAAGAGTGATTTAGACGATGAAG